CCCCCCCCCCCCCCCCCCCGCAAGGTCAAACACAACCCTGATGCAGCCCTCAATGAAATCGAGTTTGACACCCCTGTCCTAGTTGTTTCCTTGGCCTCGGAAGGTCTCTGATGCACCACACAGCCCTACTGAACCTTTTTCAAATGTGTGTACTCAGAAAGAAGTCTCATAGCATTCACATGCGATCTAATGAAGTCAACTTGCATTCTCATCTACGTATGTTCAGCTGCTCTGACCTTCAACACTCGAGCGAAGCGGTCCAGACAGTTTCCCACAGCAATGTCTATAGTTTCCCCAAATATACGATAGCGATGTTCAGAGTAGGCAATGACCTGGATGGGAGGAAGAGGCGGACACGGTTATAACCCCCTTTACTTACATCTCGATGTTCCCGGGATTCCACGTGGGTCAACCAAAATTCTTTTCCTCACTTTCTTAAATGGAAATCACTGGGTTCAAAACAATTACAAGGCAAGAGAAACCAAGCAAAATAGCAATATGTTTGGTGAGGCCTATCTCTGGGGAATGCACAAAATGAGTTGTGCATTATAAAATGTCAATTGAGGGATGCGGTGGCTCAGTGGCTAAGACGCTGAGCTTGCCGATCAGAAAGTTTGGCGGTTCAAATCCCTAGCGCTGTGTAATGGAGTGAGCTCCTGTTACTTGTCCCAGCTTCTGCCAACCTAGCCGTTCGAAAGCATGTTAAAATGCAAGTAGAAAAATAGGAACCACCTTTGGTGGGAAGGTAACAGCGTTCCGTGCACCTGTGGCATTTAGTCATGCCGGCCACATGACCACGGAGACGTCTTCGGACAGCGCTGGGTCTTTGGCTTTGAAACGGAGATGAGTAACGCCACCTAAAGTCAGGAACGACTAGCACATATGTGCGAGGGGAGCTTTTACCTTTACCTAAAATGTAAATCAACAAGTGGAGTTCTAAGCCTGCTGGAGTAGCCAGATCTTTTAAGGATTTCTGAAAAGACAATGTTGTTGTAGTCCACCAGCTGCCACTAGAGCTAGCGGCAGACTCGGATGATGAGGAGGTTGGGAAAGAACTTAGGCCAGTTCTGGAGTCTGGGGAAGGCTCGGATGGATGCTCAGCATCAGACACAGAGATAGAGCCATGGCCACCCGGCATTTCCCAGCCACCGGAGAGGCAGCGGCTGAGATGAGTTAGGAGGAAGAACAACTGGGGCCTGTTCCAGATGCACGTAGGCAGAGACCAGATAGGAGAGGTGAACAACAGAGGACAAAAGAGTTGATTTGGGAAGCAAAGCAAACATGGACGCTGAATGGCCCCTCCCTGGTCGGGGAAGAAATAGAAGGAAAGGAGAGTGGTGGTCGTAGGAGACAACAGTTCGCATTTCTAGAGATTTTGCTGTGTTCCGTGCAACAAAGACTGCCTTGCCAGAACTTAATTTCCAGCCTGTAGGCTGGGAGCTCATCGCCTTGCAATTGATGAACTGACAAGATCTGCTGCTGCAGTTAACTCCTTGCCTGGACTTGGGTGAATGCAATTAATTCACAAGAGGTAAATAAAGAAGAGTTTTTCTTTGCGAGGAGTCTGTTTCTTGCTTCTGCAAAGGCTGAGTCAGAACAAATGTCAAGTCCCATTTGGACTTCAAAGGGAATAGAGTTCCAGAAGACCCAGTTGACTGCAAAGGAAGTCCAACTTGGACTCTCTGCTTTACTGATGAGCCCTGGAAAGTAATGATGGCTCTGACCAGATGTGATTGACCGGACAAAAGCCATCTACGTGTCTCTCATAGTTTCAAGAACACTATTATCTTCTCACACCAAGTTCTTTGACAGTGCTGGACTTCTGCACCAAGGAATTTAATGATCAGAAGTGCTTATTTGGATTGGATTGGATTTGGATTTATTACATTTATATGCTGCCCTTTCCCCCGAAGGGGACTCAGGGCGGCTCACAATTCAGTCAGGGAAGGGGGTACAGACAGGGGNTGGGAGCCAAGCTAGGGACTACTGGAAGGGGAGGGGTGAGTGAGGGCAGCCAGAAGTGATATTTGCCGGTTCTCCAAACTACTCAAAGTTTCCTGCTACCGGTTCTTCAGAACCGGTCCGAACCGATTGAATACCACCTTTGCTGCTATCATGTCACACCTATTCCTTTTCGCCAGACTAGTCATACCCAATTCCTTCAACCGTTCTTTGTATGTTTTAGGCTCCATTCCCCTAATCATCTTTGTTGCCCTTCTCTCCACTCTTTCCAGAGTCTCAATATCTTGTTTATAATAGGGTGGCCAAAACTGAAGACAGTATTCTAAGTGTGGTCTTATAGAGTTTTGTCTAGATGCGTTTGCTGCTAATAAACACCATTAAGGCTCTAAAGCAAATAGCGATACTCAGCCTCTAACTAGGGGCGTGAAAACTCGTGGCCAGCTCGTAGTCAGATGCATCACGTGCAGGCCACACCCACCCCAACTTCGCGAAGGGAAAAACCATTGTGATATGTCACATGAGTGCAACAAGTTTGACTCCCGTGCTCTAACAGATGCCTGAAAGCTAAGCCTAGGAGGATCTTTGGAAGAAGATGGAGGGGGAGGGGTTCTTACCTTTCATCAGTTGCAAAGAGTTTAGCGCCTCTCTCTTTGCACATGATGCCCATCATCTCTTGAAGTCGCTCGTTACCTGCAAAGAAAGGATCAGTCTCTCTGGGGGAAAAAAACAATTGAAAGGCAACAAGCACCGCATCTAGTAGACCAATGTTTCTCCATCTTGACTATTTTAATATCTGTTGCTTCATGTTCTTCAGAGGTTGTGGGAGTTTCATCACTGTAAGCTTTCAAGAAGAGACTGAGTGCCATCTTGTCAGAAATGGTGTAGGGTCTCCTTCTTGGGCAGGGGGTTGGACTAGATGACCTACAAGGTCCCTTCCAACTCTGTTATTCTGTTCTGTCCTGACTTTGGAGATTAGGTACATCTTTGTGGCAGGCCTTCAAATATTGGAACGCTGCTATGATGTCACCCCTAGTCCTTCTTTTCATTAGACTAGACATACCCAATTCCTGCAACCGTCCTTCATAAGTTTTCTCCATCTTGACTGCTTTTCCATTTTGACTATTTTAATCTGGTGGACACTGCAACTGTCATAGATATGATCCAGTTGCCAAGCATCCAAATTTTGATCACATGACCATGTGGCAATGGCTATGTGAAAAACGGTCATGTCATTTTTTTTCCAGTTTACTACTAATGGTCCTTAAACAAATGATTATAAACTGAGGACTCTGTATTTTTCAACTTCCCCATCTAGTCTCCAGGGACATTAGTTCACCCCAACATCCATCCAAATCACCTACAGCCAACGCCGCCCACAATTAAGGCCTCGCTGGAACTGGTGTGCGCCATGGCTCGTTCAGTGATTTCTACCAGCATTGCAAAGAGGGTCTCCTGGTGAAGAAGGAGAAATTATGGGATCAGTTCAGAAGCTTTTTGTTTGGTTTTCATCTATGGGTGCCCATCCTCCTTTATCTATGCATGCAATATAAATAGATCTTTACATTCTGAGGTTAAAAGTACTTTTCTGAGGTAAATTCTGAGGTAAATAAGTACTTTTCTGAGGTAAATTCTGAGGTAAAGAAGTGCGTTTCTAGAATAGTAGATCTTTTCTAGAAACGTATGGGCCCCTTCCTCCTATCCTGGGGCCCAATCTGTCAGCCCTATAAGGAAACAAATGCCTTGTAGACTAGTACAACTTTCAGTGTAACAGCTAATAACAGAATGACTCTTTTCACCTTATTTTGTACGAAATAAGGAAGGGCTTGTCTGAACTGTTTTCTCAAGTTACTTTCTCAGCCCTGGCTCAATCCCCTCTTATCCAATCATTGCCTTGGTGTTGGCTTTTCCTTCTGTCCTTCTATCCTCCCTCTAACATGGTCCTGGGGTTAGAACAGCAACCAGGATTGCTGTCACTGTGTGATATAGTGCATGGATGCTGGCTGGGGAATTCTGGGAGTTGAAGTCCACAGGTCTTAAAAGTTGCCAAAGTTGGCGACTTCTGCTCCATAAAATCTTTGATCCAGATCTGAATTACCTGTAGAGAGAAGCAGAGGTCCTCTGGAGTGCATTCTCCTGCAGACAGCATTCTGTGAGCCACATCCTGCAAGAGAACAGCATGAATCCTTGGAATCTATTTCAGATAGTCCTCATTTAGCAACCACAATTAGCCCAAAGGTGTTTTTTCAAGAGGCATCTGGACTTTCTGAGGTTTCTTTTGAAGATATTTCACTTCTCATCCAAGAAGCTTCTTCAGAGCTTCTTGGATGGCAAGCAAAATGTCTTCAAAGAAAAACCAAAAGCACCTTTGGGACAACCATGACCTGGATGATTGAGAATCTCCATAGACATTCAACCACGATTAGGACCAGCAACTTGGCTATTAAGTGGACACTAGGTGAAACTGCAGCTGAAATAATCTTATTTCAACTTTCCTAATGTATTAAGAAAATTAATAAATTTTGCATACTTTAGATAACTTTTTTACTATTAATTCTTATGTCTATTCCCTAACCATTGGTTAAAAAAAAAAATTCCCAGATTGTATAATAATTGGTTTGTTCTTTCTCTTTGATAGCCAGTGTCAATCTGTTCATTTCTGCACATTCTAATATATTCCTAATCTCATTCTCTGTATCCAGCTGCTGCTTTGTGGGATTTGAATCCTACGTACCTCTATGTGAGACAGAATCCCAGAGAAGGACACATCCATGCCTTTCACGGTATAGGGGAGCTCAACTAACTTTTGACCCCTGTAGAGAAAAAAAAGGAAGCATTGAGTCTCCTGTATGGAGCTATAATCTAAGATACGGTGTCTGCAGAGCACTATTTCTCAATCTTAGCAAACTTCAAGCTGTGTGGACTTCAACTCCCAGAATTCCCCAGGCACCATGAACTCCACAGAACTTAAGTTACTAAGGATGAGAAACACAGACCTGGAACTCCTGAATCTCGGATAGAAGGGAGAGCAGGAAAAAACACTCCGTTCAGGCCAAAGACTGAGGTTAAACTGGGTGGCCACGGGAGCAGCAGGAGGTGTGGCTTCCAAAGATTTCCTCAATCTCCAATAGGCAATCAGATTAGGTTAATACCCGATGGTTACTCCTCCCACACCTTCTCTTCGGAAACTCAAAATAATCCTCATGCCGCAAAAAAACCCGCCCAGAAACAGAGCAATGTGCCAAGCTTCTATATTTCAGAAGATGAGAGAAAGATCATCACCTACTCTTTAAATGCCATCAACCTACAGGTTTATCTTTGCATCATACAGCAGAACAAGGAACTGCAACCAATAGCTTTTGCTTGACTTAGTAAAATTCTGTATTTTTCGGAGCATAAGATGCACCTTTTTCCCTAAAAAATTAAGGTTGAAAAGTTGGGTGGTTCTTAAAGACTGAATGCAGCATTTTTGGCCTCCCAAAACCCTGCTCCCTTCACAAAAACAGGAGGGTTTGAGAGGCCTGCAAAGTGCTCCTGGGGGGCTGGGGAGGGCAAAAGTGAGCAA